AAGAGTTTTTGCGTGGATACAGACAAAGCAGGCTTGCCAATTTGATATTGCTAGGTCTGTCTACACCAGTGGCGGTTTGCCCGCGAAGATAGGCACGGGGCACAGTAAATTTGTGCCACTGTTGTTTTCTCTCTCATTATAACGCGAAAAACAAGGACAACGACAATATCTTTTAGCAAGAGATAAACAGATGCGGTGGGTTATACGTCACAAGCGGGGCGCTGTCCTTATCGTAACTGGCTGTATAGTCCATCCAAACAATAAGTCAACTATAAATGAATACCGCAAACGCAAAAAAAGTTCGGCATCTGTTTGAATAATTCGAAAAAAACATTGGTGTAGGGAATGGGTTGCTTATCGGAAGTCAGCTAAACTAACTCTTTGATAGAGCACCCATAGACGGAGATATATGTTTTTACTTGAAATTTTATTTAATAATTTAATTATATGTACGTATTTTAGGTATATGTTTCCTTTGATTTGAAGATTTAAAATAGTGATTTTTTATGTGCATATATAATTAGAATAAAATAAGTAGCAGAGATAAGGGAGATGAAGATAGGAAACGTCCATAAGAAGCCATCGATATCAAACAACGCAGCGGGAAATTTAAAAACCTAATAATAAAGGTTGTATAAATATCGACTGCCATATCGACTGCACTCTCATGTTCTTGTTAATAAACTTAAACAATGTAATTATGCTAAATTATTTATTAAAAAGAATACTACGCTAACAATCAATTTTTGATTAATTATTGTAAATCTATATTCATGACAAATATTTTTTAATTTGTTATTTGTAACATTGCATTTTGGTTTTTATTTTCCAAACGAATATCTTATTTAAAAATGTTGAGTGCAAAGTCAATAATGGGAATTCAGATATTTTTCTTCCTATATCAAATCTTCTTACTAACGTCTTGAAGCCATTTTCTTGTTCTAAAACAATAAATATTACATAAATACCTACTTTATGATAAAAGTTGATTACTATTTGTGTTACATACATCAATAGATCTTACCTACTTTGGTTAATTAAAGAACACCACATTAGGGTTTTTTAAATTTGTTCATGTGACATGTGTTATTAATGCAATACGTTCTTCGACTTATTGTAATATTACAAAATATAATTATTGTCCTCAAATTTCACACAAAAACAGCCATAACTATTTCGCTTAGCTCATCTAGAGGATAACACAATCATGAACTCAAAATTTAAAATTTAAATGCAGGATTCTTCGATATACATAAAAATAACTGACATTTATATTTACAAACTGTCCACTGCTCTCCACGTCTACTGTCTGTCTCAGTGTTGCCAACCATACGATTTAAATAGTATTTATACGATTTTTTAAATCTCTGTACGATGTACGATTGCATCAGTGATATCTGCAACAACTTGCAAAGATTCATTGGCCGTTCGTAATTTGTAAAGGCAGTCATTTTCATTTTGACTCATCGTGATTTTGACCATGATGATTTTGTACACCGACTATCACAGCATAAGAAAAGCTTGCATGCAAAATTTTAATCATTTTCAATTATGCCAAAGTATTTTTTTTTAATTTTTCATTCCATTTGAGTTATATTATGCTATGCATGTATCTATTGTACAATTTTTTTGTCAAAATACCATTTTTCTACTCTACATCTTCGAGCTCTACATGTACGATCTCTCAAAAAAAATATTTGGCAATACTGGTCTCTCTACAAACGACGTATACCTGTAGTTAACATCTGAGACGCCAGATGACGCCATCGTTGCTGCAGTCGTTGCGTTTCCAATCTTTATGTCCCTAATCTCTGATAAGTAGGATTTATAACTGACTTTTTCCTTTAACGATTTCAGTGTTTTAGATAAAATTTTGCTTTTTTCTCCAAGCGTTAACAATTTTGTTGGTATACTGCCTCTGTAAGTATATTGTTTTTGACGGTGTATCGCCTTTGACGGCTATTGTCTTTGTCGGTATATTGTCTTTGACGATATATTGTCTTGTCAGCATATTGTCTTTGTCCGTTTAAAAAGTATTGCAACTTGCGAAATTTTTAACCAATGCTAAAAAGGAAAATCAAACGTATTTGAATAAAAATAATTATTTTTATTTTCAGTGGAGTTTTGTTCACCTTAGTGACCTGTTGAGTTTTGTACGGTTAACAGCTCCTACATCGTACTTTTAAAAATTTTATAGAAAATTTAATTTTTTGTTTTATTAGTGTTTAGGTTCGTTTTATCAATAATTAGTTTGTGTTTTAGAGGTTAGTAATTTTAACTTTATTGTTCGTTTATACTTTTGTGTATGTGTTATTAACTATGTGGAGACCGTGGGATAGTATTCCGAGCACCAGTACATCAAACAGTAATGGAGAAAATAATGCAGTGCCAGCGCAAATAAAAAATAAACTCTTTTTAAATGAACAGTCTCAGCAAATTTGTTTAAATATTTATAAAAATGTGTTAAACCGTGGGTATATCGAAAATACTTCTACCGTTCAAGAAGCAGCGTTTATTACTGGTATACGGTTTATAGAATGAACCAAATTATAAAAAATGGAATTTCCAGCAAAAAGTTCGTAAAGACAAAGGTGTGAAAAAAAAAATTAGATCCAGCCATTGCCAAATCCATTTTAAATACAGTGTATGAACTTTATAGACAAAATACTATTCCCACTCTTGATATTATACATAAACCCTTAAGTGAAACTTATTTCGATACATATACAAGAAGGTCTACATTGTATAATTGGCTAAAATGATAGATAAAAGAAGTGCAGTTATGGAAACAAGACGAATAGTAAACTGGAGAAAATCTTATTTATAGAAAATTCGTGAATACAAAAATGGAAGCAGGTCAATTTATTTTCTGCATGAAACGTGGTATGATTCGCATGATACTGCAAAAAAAGGGCTGGACAAATGATAATATATATATTGCCAAGCCTTAGGCATCCCTCCAAATAAAGGCACTCGATTGATAATATTAAACTGTGGCTCAGAGAACGGTTGGGTTGACAATGCCAAACTATTGAAAAAAAAATTATATCTGCCAGATTGACTACCATTCAAATAAGAATTCCGATATTTTTGAAGAATGGTTTACGAATTCACTGTTACCTAATTTAAAGCCAAAAAGTGTAATAGTTCATATCACTGCAGGGTTAAGGAAAAGATACCTAATAAAAACTCTAGGAAAATGAAATTCAAGAATTTTAATAAATCACGATTTATATTTTGATAAAAACTATAAACAATATAAACTTTTGGAAGTCCTAGAGACTAAAGATTTTGATTGTGATAGGGGTCATACAGTTTTAAGGTTGCCACCATATTTTTGTATTTTTAATCCTATAGAGTTACTCTGGAGCCAATTGAAACAAAATATTCAGAGAAGCGGAGAACTTGTTTTCCTAAGGGAAAAACGAATCCCGGGTTTCCTTTCCAGTGTGTGCCCACTGCCGCTAGTGCCCACGAGCCGCAACTGGTCTACACATAGATTATTGGCATCACTTTGTATTAATAAAGTAAATAACACATTTACCTAATTATATTTAATAGTAAGCAAAATAGATATTAGAAACATCGTTTAACTATAGAGACTTTGGATACACATATTAGGAAAACTGGAAAACAGAGGATTACAACAAAATTTTGCTCAGTTATGTACTGAACTTTTGTTAATATAAATATGTAATAATTTATAGTTAACGGACAAACTTTTAAAATACAGGGTATTACACAAAAAACTGCTTTACTAATTTTTAAAGTTTTTGCAATCGTTTCAACACCCTGTTTGCCATAGAGTGGCAGGTCTTACATTTATTTAATATAATAATCAAAATATTAAAAAAACATATCGTTTATACAGGGTGGCTCGTTAAAGTCGAAACACATTATATGCCTCCTGTAACCACATTTATGAGTCACGCTGTATAAAATATGATGTATCATCAAGAAGCAATTAGTTAAACTATATTTTAATGGTACAATGGTAATTATTCATATTTTAAATGCTGTCATAAAAAATAAAAAAAAAATTATATTTATCCAATTTCTACAGTAACTTTTTATAAAATGTTAGTGTCAGATAATCTATAATTCAGGTTTTTCTACAACAAACGCGAATAAAACAGATGTGTTATGAGAAATATGCTTACAAAAAAAGGCATTTCCGATGTACATCGAAAACTAGTTATAGAATCGGTTTGTGCCAGTGGACCAGTGAATACTTTTTGTCAAAGCATCAAGTATGCAACGTATAAACATTTCAGAAAATTTGAAGGAAAGCCGTTTTTCCATAAAAAAGGTGCCTGGTCCTTTGATGATAGATGCCTCTTGGTTAGTCAATAGAGTTTTTCGACTTAGAATTTGGAAAAATTTATTTTTTCTATCTACAGGGTGGCTCACGCTCAACGGGACGGAGCTTTATGGGAAAACGACCAAAGATATAAAAAATTCGTTTGGGAGGAATACGTAGGTTACAGACGGCTACAATTTAAAATTTGTTAGATGTATACAGGATGTCCCACATAAATGAAAAAAAATTAGTTCATTAAAAATTATTCAAACAAGAGTAAACAATTAATTTCTGGGAGACTTTTTTTCCTTAAAAATTCAAATAAATCGAAAACTAATAATAATAGTAATAGGGAACCTTTAGTTAACTGACATTATTTTTGATGTAGTTTTTAATTCTAAAATAAAAAACAGGGTGTTCCAATAAAAATAATATAACTTTGTATATTTTCTCTTATGTGGGACATCCTGTATACATCTAACAAATTTTAAATTGTAGCCGTCTGTAACCTACGTATTCCTCCCAAATTAATTTGTTATATCTTTGGTCGTTTTCCCATAAAGCTCCGTCCCGTTGAGCGTGAGCCACCCTGTATAACTCTAAAAAATTAGTTTTATGGCTATTCTATGCTTTCGAAAGTTTCTATAGGTACTTTATTCTGTTTTTTTTTTTTTGTATTAGTAAACTAGTAAAAACTAACCTTAACATTACTTTCCAATAATTTTTTAACAATAGCTAGCCCAATACCACTAGCACCACCTGTCACTAAAGCCACCTTATTTTCCGCGAAAACCATTTTAACAGTTTTATATTACTTTTTAATTTAGTATTGACTTCGATATCAAAAGTTTTTGGCCTATTAGTTTTTCACATCATTAGCGTTATCTTATATTCAATGTGATTTTAACTAGACCAGTGGTCGGCAAACCGCGGCTCGCGAGCCGCATGCGGCTCTTTGGCCCATTGAGTGTGGCCCTTCCACAAACTACAACATGTGGGCTCGCACATACAGTTAGACGGTATACAAAAAATAATATACGTTCGTTTGTGTGCACCGTCTTACTTTTAGACTTCTAAAATATCGTTAAATAAATATCTTTTAAATATAAAATATCAAATGTTTTTAAAAGTATTGTTTATGTTTAAACTTTCACCATATTTATAGTTTCGATAATTATTTAATTTTGATGTTTTTATAAATATTCCAAACCAATGAACTCTCAAAATAATTGAAAATTAGCCGAAGGTATATTTAGGATTGCCCAACAGTATTTTTAAAATCCTCAATTATATTTATGAGAAGGAAAGTGTAGCTTACATAAACCTTTAACATTTCTGTGTGAATTAGTGGTATTATAAACTTAAAAGAATTCATTTTGTAAGACTAAATACCTAATAATTTAATAAACTGTTTAATTGCTTTTTTTTATTAATTTATAACATTTCAGAGAATGTAATAATTGTTTACAAACAAAAATGTAAAATCTGAACCTATTATTCAAAAATGAAAGTACCTGAATAAGATAAATGAAGTAAGAAACACTTTATTTACAAATAATAAAAAATATATACACAATCCCTAACAATAATGGAGATGCACAAATTAAAATGTCTTCCCGAAGATTTATTATCAAATTCAACTTGTTATCGATCTTATTATTTACTTCAAATATGGGAGAAGCAATGCAAATTACTTTATGTTCATTTGTAATTATTCCGTTTACTGTGAAAATATCTCCTTTTCTTAAGTTATTCATGGAAAATCTCATTATCTCCATATACTTGCTTGGCAGATCTAAAAATAATAAAATATTTCATAAATTGATGATTTTTTTTCGTATTTTCAAGAGTACATTTTTATGGATTCCTATTTTTTTCAATTTTTATTACTTTTCTGTGGTCCAAATTATTTTATAAAATATTTTTATTATTTCAATTTAGCAATATTATCGTAGATTTATTCATGTAAATACTAGTCATGTGTATAATAGTTGTAACAGAAAGAGTTTGTATATTTACAAAAAGTAGTCATTCATTCACAAAAATGTACTTAAATTACCATTATTTACAATGGTACTCGTATGTAGCAAGTAGGTAATCCTCGACCAAATAAAAATAGTATTACAGTAAATACATGTGCACTACCCTTATAAATGGTTATTTAGTTTTAATTTTTGAGGTAGGCAAATTGTATTAACTCGTTTTATGAAATAACAAATTTGCTATTTCTCATGTAAAACATAATTATCCAACATCACAGCTTTAAACGTTGCTCTCTTACTCAAATTAGAGATTGGCTCTTGTTGCTTTAAAGTACAGATATATTGTCCCAATTTCTAGTGTTATATTTGTGGATATCAGTGTAGGTACGTTAATATATTATAAGAAACATATATTTTTCTTATACATATAAATAAGGTAAAGGGTAAAGGTAAAATGTTTATTTTTGAAAAACTGTTACTGTTCGACAAGCCTAATAACCTGACATAAATATGATTTTATATAAACTCCATATAAACTGTAACTACTATTAAAACAAATTGTAAATAAAGTATTGCATACCTTTCTGTCTTAACGTGCTTAATTTTGACACTTATAAACTGAGTATTGTTAAATAAATGAAGTAATCATGTCTTGGTTTACAATGGGTAAAACACTTGAATCAACTTTTATAGCTAACAAACTCATATTAATAACAAAATTAAACCAATTAGCAAAGACAAAAGAAATTAATCGAGAATTGAGAAAAAAGTATACAAAACAAAGCAACAACGAATGTTAATGTTAGGTGGTCTAGGTGGTGTCAATTTTAAGTGTCACTGAGATGTGCGTTCACTTCGTTATTCTGTGTGTCGGTTTGTTCGTTGGTTTGGTTCTTTATAACAAAAAAAACTTTTGGCTTTTTTAACTGATTATTTAGAATAACTTGTATAGCGACTAACTATTACAATATAATTTATAAAACAGCATATCTCACATGTGAACATGGCCCATTGTAGTCAAAATATGCAACCCTGTAGTTAGTAATTTCATTTGCCTCTGTTCGAAGCATTTTGCCTTACCTCCAACGTTCCATTTTGATTTAACGTTGTCATTTGCTATTTCAAAGCCATACTATCTAAATATCATACAATTTAATTTTATGAATAAATATTATCGTTATTAAGATAAATATGATATCAAGTTTTATTCCACGCTCCTATAATTGAAAGTTTATTAAGATAATATTAAAGAAGCGCTGTCAAGTATTGAGAAAGGTATGTTAAGATAGTATGGATATCTAAAGAGGACTAACGAAACGAGTTTACAAGATGAGTGTGGGTGAGAGAGTTGGAAAGTGTCGCTCTCGAGGAACATACCTCAATCAAATGGAGGACGTTTTTAGCAAATAATTAAGTAAATAACTTGAGATACTCGAGATAAGAGAACTGTTAGCAGAAAAAAGAAAACTAAGAAATATATGGCAGATGACAAGATCACCAGAAGATAAAAATGTATTAAATAGAACTACCCAAAGACTGAGAAGAGAAATCCTAAATCACAAAGAAGAATCCTTCAACAGATACCTAGTAGGGCTAACAAATGGTAAAGGTAAACTGATTTTTTCTCTGGAAGGCAACTAAAAAAATGAAAAATACGTGTAAACATTGTCCTTCTATGAGAATAGCAGATAACAAATGGGCAACAATCAACAGAAAGCTGATTTTTTCGCTGACCACCTACAAAAGTCGTTTCAATTAAATGAAAATCAAGATTCCCAGTGAGACGATTCATAATAAGGAACAACTTGAAATTAGGCTAGTTACTCCCAATGAAGTTACGAAAGAAATTCAGACAAATATCAACTCAGAAAGCCCTAGGATATGCCCTTATTACTGGAAAAATATTAAAAAAACTACCACGGAAGGCTATTGTTAAATTGACATACCTTATAAATGCGACATTTCGCCTTAAATATATACCTGATGCGTGGAAAATGGTTGATGTTATCCTAATTCCTAAGCCAGGAAAACCTCCGAATGAAGTGTCATTGTTACCGATAATATCTAAGTTATTTGAAAAACTACTACTAAAACGACTAAAACCAATAATTGAAAATAAGAATCTGATCCCTTCGCACCAATTTGGTTTTAGAAACAAACACTCGACAATAGATCAAGTACACAGGATAGCCGAATATCATCGAAAAGCTTACGAAGAAAAATATATAGGCTCAGATATATTTCATGACGTAGCCCAAGCATTTGACAAGGTTTGGCACGCTGCGCCCTGGCCTGATACTAAAACTTGAAAAAATGCTTTTTAGACAATATATCGACATTCTACAATTATATCTAACAAGCAGAATGTTTAGAGTAAAGCAAAACGAGGCATACTTAGAAATGGAAGAAATTAAAGCAGGAGTCCTACAATGCAGTGTGCTAGGACCGGTTCTTTACTTATTATACACCAGTGATATCCCTCAACAACAATGTGTTAAAATAGCAACATTTGCGGATGACACAGCAATATTGACAGTTGAGCGAACTATTTCAGAGACCTCAGAAAAACTTCAGGAATCCTACAACATAATCAATGGATGGACAAAAAAGTGGAAAATAAAAATAAATCAAACTAAATCAGTTCATTTTGATTTTACTCTTCGACCAAATGAACAAAAACAAATAAGAATAAATAATGACGTTATTTCGCATCACGATTCGGCCAAATACCTAGGGATTAACCTGGATGTAAGACTTAAATGGAAACAGCACATTAAAAAAAGCGTAAAGAACTTGAACTTAAATTCAAAAAAATATATTGGCTCCTAGGAAGAAAATCTAAATTGTCAGTGTACAACAAACTGCTGATTTATAAGAAAATCCTAAAACCAATCTGGATTTATGGCATGCAGCTATGGGGATGTGACAGTAATAGTAATATCAACATGATACAAGTTTTCCAAAATTAAGTCCTAAGATGCATTGTTGATGCAGTTTGGTTCGATCGAAACGATTATCTTCATAGAGACCTGAAGATGTCAACAATCGAAGAAGAAATAAAAAGGTTTGTTGTGAAACATGAGGGTCGACTCCACTTCCACGTCAACGAAAATGCGCTGCAATAACTGGACATCTCTACACTCAACAGAAGGCTCAAAAGAAAGAAGCCATTTGAGCTAGTGCAGTGAACATTAATGTTAATGCTAGTGTAAAACAGTGTAATAAATCGTCACGCCAACTTGTGATGCTTTCCTATAGAAACGATTAATACAGTCCAATGGGGACTTCTTAGATAAGTAATTAGTTTATAAGATTTTTAGATTAAAATTGTAGGTTAGTCAATAATAACTAGTAACAATACTCTAACAAAAAAAAAGTAAATAACTATTTACCTACCTATATAATAGTTTAGGTTTAAAAAATTTCGCTCTCACAATAAATTTCAGTCATCGTACCGTTGCTATTTGGCTGCATTGACTAATGAGTTTACCGACCACTGGACTCGGCCAACCAGATGCTAAAATGGAATGAAAGAAACTTTATGGATTCGTGTGTTCCTGTTTACTGTCTGTATTATTATCGTTTGCTGTTGATTTATCGGTCATATCTTTGTAATTTATGTGTTTATTTGGGAAAAGCACTCAATTAATGAATAAAATACTTAATATAAAGCAAATAGTAACCATATTATATACACAGGGTGGGGACTTTAACTGGCGCAAATTCGCTACAGCTTCAGGTTGAAAAATGCGGATAAAACGCAAAAACACGTCGATTGAGTTTTTTTGTAAGCTTTCCGGTCATACCAACAAAAATTTTTTCTCACCCTCTTTACAGGGTATAACTCACCCCGACTTCAGTTTTTTAAATGGGATGATACCACTTGTGGCACCTTGTTGGAAAGGTCTTTCCAAAAGAAAATGGATTGTGCCA